GTGTCCTTGCTTCCTCTGAGCTTCAGATTGAAGTGAGCCTTTGGCTTTCAAGATCCCTTTGAGTTTTTAACATTCTGGAACCTCCAGAATGTGAATCCACCCAGGTCTGTAGCCGCCAGGATGCGTTAAACATCACCCTGTATGGGCTCATGTCCCAGAGACAAAAGAATGTGCTTAATTCCCTCATCCCAAGGGTATGTGGGAGGGTGTGGTGACTGGGTCAAGGGTCTGCCAGGACTGTCTGCCACAGCTGGAGATTCCCCCACTGTCTGCAGAGAGGAGCGGAGTGTCCTGCCTCCCGTGGAAGGGCTGTGTTCTGAAGGAAAAGGCCTCTGGGCGAGCTGTGTGACGGTGTGGGAAAGCATTGGCCCTATGCGAGAGGGAGGGTTTACATGCTTTGGAACCATTTAGAAAGGTGGGGGTGGGAGGACTCGATTCTTTCCAGTACTGTCAATAACAGGCATGATTTCAGGATGAGGTCATGATTTGGAAGGGATAGGAAGGGGCAGGCTTGAGCAATTTCCCCCTGAGAGCTCTGTGAGGGGCTGCACTTTGGTGCAGAGTAGATCTGCTGACCCATTTCCGGAGGTCCTGGAACCCCAGGGACAGAGAGGAAGCCTTGCTACATTTTCTGTTCTGCTGGTCTGCGCTCCCTGCCTTCTCTGGGGTTCTAGCTCATGCTCAAAGCAATCTCTTTGTTTCTAGCTCTCCAGGAAGCTCTAAATCAGAACCAACTCTACTCTCTCTCACTACCAAGGTAGCCCTGCCAACAGGTGGAGGCCTTAGGGAGGGGCCCAGCCTGGCTGCACGTGTTTTCAGATCGTTCCAGCCCTCCCCGAGGAGGGAGTGAAACTCCCAAAGCAGTCTCGCCCCAGCTGAGCACAGCCTCTGTCTGCATCAGCAGCAAACAGCTTCTCTTGCACCTCGGGAGGAGGTGTTAATGAGGAAAGTGGCAGGAGAGGGTGGTACCTGCCTGTGGCTGTAACAGTTTGCTCCTTTTAGCTCGTGGGGATTGAGGGGGTGCCTTCTCGAGACTAGGGGCAAGTAGAAAAAGCTGCTGCCAGGAAATAAAGGCAGTGCAGGAAAGGACTCAAGAGGAACTGCTGTCCCGGCAGCCAGCCCTGCAGGATGGCAGGGCTTGGTTGGCCACTAGTTTTTGTTTTGCTGAGGGGACATTAGGAGGGAGGAGACTGGAACCCATGAGTTGAGAAGGCTGAGGAGGAGAAGACTGGGGAGAAAGAGAGAGGATCTGGAAGCTTTGGGAAAGAAAAAGTCGGGAGAAAACAGAGGTGTTTAAGTGAGACTGAAGGGAAATTTTGCCTCACAGGCGCTGACTTACCTGACTATCCATGTTTTTGGAGATGAATTAATATCGGCGCTCTAATAATGGATTAGGGCCCGCTCAGGGGGCCAGAGCTGGGGTAGGCCAATGGGGTCCAGATATTCCTGGGGCACAGCAGGAAGTGGGGTTCCAGTTCCAGAAGGAACAATGGCTGGGGGCTAGGGGCTGGGTCAGCTCGGAAGAGGCTGCTTTGCTGGGTCTAGAAAGATGGCCAGGGAAGAAGGTGGAAGGCTCTGCGAATAGGGGACCCTGACAAGAAACAGTCTGTAAGATGGAAAATACTATGTGGCCAGAAAAAAGAAGGAAATTTTATCCTATGCAACTGCATGGATGGACCCGGAAAGCATTATGCTAAGTGAAGTCATCCAGTCAGAGAAAGAAAAGTACCATATGATTTTACTCATGTGTGGCATCTAATGAACCAAATGACCTTACAAGCCAAATAGAGACAAACTCATAGATAGAGAGCAGGATGACAGCTGTAGGAGGGGGAGGGAAGGGGCTGGGTGGATCGAGCAAATAAAAAAAGAGAGAAAGAACTCATGAACGTGGACAACAGTGTGGTGGTGGCCGTCGGGGGAAGGCACAGGGGGATGGAGGGGGATAAATGGTGATGGACTCGGGGCGGTAAACACACAATACAGTGTACAGCTGCTGTGTTGTAGGATTGTGCACCTGAAACCTATATAATTTTGTTAGCCAGTGTCATCCCAATAAATTCCATTAAAATATTTTAAAAAATAATAATGTGTGAAACTGTGATGGAAAGCCTCAAGTCCTGGGCAAGTGATTCATTCGGGTGGAAGGAGGGGAGGTGGGAGTGGACAGAACATACAGGTCACCGATGCTAATCTCTTCCAGTCTATGCATCCATGAATTTGACCGACCTCACAAAAGAGCTGATTAGATTATTTATCGTCTCTCACTTGGGCTGATAAATTGCCCCCAAAAGAACTTATACCTCCAGTCTCTCCCTCCCTCCGATGTGTCTTCCACGTATAGTGACACTAAAATAATCCTGAAAAGCCCCGCTCCCATGGCTTCATTCTTATCTGAAGTCCTTCAGCGACCCTTCGTCACTCACCCACCAGGGTTAGTCTGGCTCCTCAGCAGGGCAGGCAGCACCATGGAATCAGGCTCTGTCCACCTGTCCAGCCTCATCCATGGTCACCCCCCTCCCTCGCGCTCACCACAAAGAACTACACACAGTTCCGCTTACACCACTTGCCTTTCTATACCTTAGGGCCTTTGCATATGCTTTTATTCCTTTTCCTGGAGTACTTTCCTCAGCTCCATTGTAAATACCCCAGAAGCCTCCTATGACCCTCTCTTCCTGATACTGCATTCCCACAGTACCTTGTATATAGCACTAGGCTGGCATGTCCACATTGTATCATTACCATGATCATGACCTGTTCATGTGTCTGTGATTACTGAAAGGACAGGACTAGATCATATTCTTTGCAGCCCAGAGCTTAGCACAGTGCCTAGCTCATGGTTGGCAATCAGAGAACGTTCATTGAATGACAGAATTTGCAACTCAAAAGGGTCCACCTAGAAGACACCCTCTGGGGCCTCTTGTCTACCTGACAAAGACCCCCTTTTCTCTGAGAACTGCCCCCACGCACCAGCTGGACCATCAGTGGACATCTGACCAGAGCTGGGCCAAACAGACTCTCAGGGAAGTGGAACTGACTCCAAGAGAAGAACATTTGTTTCTGGAGCCACCACATGGGAACCTGGAAATATAAATATCATGGGGCATGCTTACTCCATCATTTAAACTGGACAGTAGAGAGAGCCACTCTTTAAAGAAAGAAAATGACATGGCCTGAGAGAGGATTTCAGATGACTTTCTGATTCCCAAGTCTATCTCTATCCTAAGACCATGATGGAGTCCTGTCCTTAGGTTCTGGGAGACACCCCTGTTTAGTAATAACCTGTCCTCAAATTTGTGTTGGAGCTTCACAGGATTTCTATTCCTTATACAGTCCTTACCGCACAAGCCAGCCTCCGTCCTTGGCAGAGTTACTTGGGTTTTTTCCTCTTCAAAAAACCTTTATTTTAATACATAAATTATACTCAGACATAAATTAGACTTTAAATCAACATACCCATGCAGAACTGGCCACATAATTTACAGGACCCAATGCAAAATGAAAATGTGAAATCCTTTGTTCAAAAAGTACAGTTAAAGGTACTAAAATACCAAGCTTTTTCCCTTTTTCTGCAGTCTCTCTTTTGATTAGTCATGGTGTTTATTTGCTATTTAATGTCTAAGTAAGTAAATATTAAAATTTTAAATCATTAACATGAATTTTATTACTTATCTTTATATTGTGCAATGCCCATGTGGAGAATCATCAAAATTACAGCCTGCATTTCTTGGCTCCTCCCAGAATATTCATCAAGCTGGTGGGAACAGATGACCCCAAGCCTCCCCACGCACTGACTGAGCTATTTGATGACAACCTGTCAGGCACGGGGGATAATTTACAGGGCAAGTGCAGACCCTCATGAGCTGCTGCAGTTCCCGCCCTGAGACTCAGGCCCAGAAAGCTTGACAACTGCTGCGCCCTCCCTTCCCATAGATGTGGTTGCTCTGCCCTGGCTGGGGTCAGGGAAGCCCGGTCAGGGAAGCCCAGCCAGCCGTCTCCCATTACAGCAGGCAGGCCAACGCACCCCTCAGCAGACAAGGGTACCCTGGGGTATTTACACCTCCACACTGGGATTTGCTCAGCATCCGGTGGGAGAGAGATGCACCCTCATTGACTCATCTGCTGAAGGTACCACACAGTTGCCAGCCGGGGGTGGCGGGGCGGGGGGGGGGCAGCGGCCACCATTATCATGCCCAGTCGTAAGATTCTGCAGAGCATGCGCATCTCACTCAGACCCTCCCTGCATGCACACCAGGCCCTCACCAAGGGCAGAGGGCGGCAGCAGTCACTGAATGAGGGAGGGGAAGGCTGGGGCACAGACAGCTGGGGAATGGTCACCAAGAATGCATCCCAGGGAGATGGGCAGGCTTTGGGAGTTGGCACCGCATGTGAACCGAGGCTCCAAGCCCTTGGTGCACGCTCCAAAGTCCTATGGGGCTTCACTTACAAAATACAAGTTCAAAGATAAAATTAAGCATCTCAAGGTAGTGGCTATAGAGCATTAAACCCCAAGCACTATGCTCTTCTGAGCTGGGAACCCTCTGCGACTCCACTAGTTACGTCTGTCCATTAAGCCGGCCCTGTACACACAAGGAAGATCTCCAAAGCTCACTAAACAACAGGAGTACAGGAAGGCAAAACAAAAGAAGGAAAACACTTCATATACATATTAAAGAAATTTAGAGCGCTCAGGCTCATAAGCCAAAAATACTACTCACATCTCACCTGGAGGATGAGCTAAAGAATAGGTATCTCATCTTTACTTCTTTCATCCTAGACTGCAGAACTGACCAGAAGCTGTGCTATGTATGAATGAACTGGAATTAGATTTCTGATCATTAAGCCAGGCTTTATTCCAAAGTATAATGCTTTTAGCTATTCAAAGGGGATTTCATAAAAGATAGACTACTATCAGAGCAACAGAAAGGAGGAAACATGACTAGTTTCCTTTGCCTTAGTAACTTATGCTTTTGTGGCTTAGCAGTTCATTCCCCAGAGGTTTATATGAAAAACTTCCTGTTAGGATTGGCTCCAAATAAAGCCTTTCGTATTTCTGGCATCTTTTCCTGGGCTAAGAGATCCAGTCGACTTTCCAGGGTATTGGAAACCTTTATTTTCTGATTTCCACTGTAGACCTCCACACCTCCTGCTGCGTTCATAGCCAGGTGCACCTCTCGATCCATTTGGACTTTCACGCGTTTTCTGGAAACTGTCATGTATTCAGGAATGGCTTTTTGCACTGCGTGCTCTACCAGGAAGTGGTCCTGTGGCCTGCAGCGCACGATCACCACAGGCTCTAGCAGTCGGAGCAGAGCCTGGAGCACTAGTTTATACAGCATCCCCTGGTATACTCCTGGGTCTTCCACAATCTGGCTGAGTCTCAGCTTTGCATCATTTAGCAACTCTGAGACGAGGTCATTTTGAGCTCTCAGCACCTCCAGCCTTGCTTGATTCCTTACAGTAGACATCTGGATTTTCTTCTGCTGCTCTATCTGCTTTTCCTTTTTCTCATAATACTCCATAATCTTCAGTCGCTGGGTTTGCACAAGGCGTCCTTTCTCAATGTTGAATTCTTCCTCAGCCTTGGCATCTATTTCTTCTGCCTTCTCATTGGCTTCCTGCTCAATGAAAGCCATCATGTGCTTAATCCGCTTCTGCACATCGATATCATTCAGGGCCATGGCTGCTCCTGCAAAGGGAGATGGACAGAGAGGTGGCAGACCCTCTGGTTCCTTTGATCAGGGCAGAGTTTTGGGAGAGTCTCCAGAGTTCCACTTCCTTAGATGTGGAGTGCATAAGGGGAGGAAGGAGAGAGTCAGTGTCCAAAGGGAAGGATCTTGGAGACAATCTATCCACCACTCATTTCACAGATAAGGAAACTGAGGCCCAGAGAGGGGAAGCAACCTGTCTGAGACCATACCTTAGAAGGACAGAGACTTGAACTTGGATTCGTAGAGTCCTCTTTCTACTACACTCTCCAGCTTTTTGTCATAAATCAATAATAAGAAAATTATGGTAGACATAATCTAGAAGGTTTCTAGTGAGTGATGGCTCAATACTCGAAACATTACTACTGATGCCATAGAAATAAAAAGAATTACAAGAGACTACTATGAATAATTATATGCCAACAAACTGGAAAACCTAGAAGTGGATAAATTCCTAGAAACATACAATCTACCAAGGCTGAATCATGAAGAAATAAGATATCTGAACACATCTATAACTAGTAAGGAGATTAAATCACTAATTAAAAACCTCTCAACAAACAAGAGCCCAGGACCAGATGGCTTCACTGGATAATTCTACCAACTATTTTTTTTTTTAATTAATGCAAATCCCTCTCAAACTCCTTCCCCCAAAAACTAAGAGGAGGAAACATTTTTATGAGGCCCACATTACCTTGACACCAAAGACAAAGGCACTACAAGAAAACTACAAGACAATATCCCTGATGATCATAGATGTGAAAATCCTCAACACAATACTAGCACACGGAATTCTACAGTGCATTAAAAGGTTCATACATCAGGAACAAGCGGGATTTACTCCTGGGGAGCAGGGATAGTTCAAATATAAGTATCAATCAATGTGATACACTACATTAACAGAATGAAGGATAAAATTACATGACCATCTCAATAGATGCAGAAAAAGCATTTGAGAAAATTCAACACCCTTTCATGATTAAAAAAAATAAAGACTTAACAAACTAGGAGTAAAAGAAAATTATATCACACTCAACAATGAAAAACTGAAAGCTTTACCTCTAAGATCAGGAACAAAGCAAGGATGCCCACTCTTACCACTTTTGTTAACATGGCATTAAAAATCCTAGCTATAGCAATTAGGTGAGAGAAAGAAATAAAGAGCATCCAATTTGAAAAGAAGGAAATAAAATAATCTCTATTCTTAGCTGACATGGTGTTATATCTAGAAAACGCTATCAATTCCACATACACACATACACACACACACATACACACACAAATGTTAGAACTAATAAACAAAATCAGCAGTTGCAAGATGCAAAGTTGACATATAAACATCAGTTGTGTTTCTATACATTAAAAATGAATAACCGAAAAAGGAAATTAAGAAAACAATCCGATTTACAATATCATCCAAAGAACCCAAAATCGTAGGAATAAACTCAACCACGAAAGCTAAATACTTGTATACTAAAAACTACAAAACACTGCTGAAAGAAATTAAATAAGACAAATAAATGGAGACACTCCATGTTAATGGATTAGAAGACAATACTGTTAAGATGTTCATACTGCCCAAAGCTATCTACCAATTCAATACAATCTCTAGCAAAATCCTAATGACATCCTTTGAAGAAATAGAAAAACAATCCTAGAAATTCATATGGACTCACAAAGGACCCTGAATAATCTTGAAAAAGAACAAAACCGGAGGCCTCACACTCCTGACTTCAAAACATATTACAAATCTACAGTAATCAAAATAGTATGGTACTGGAATGAAGACAGGCATATAGACCAACAGAAGAGAATGGAGAGCCCAGAAATAAGCCCACACATATACAGTGAAGTGATTTTTGACAAGGATATCAAGACAACACAATGGAGGAAGAGTAGTGTTCTCAACAAATTGTGTTGGGAAAATTGAATATCTACATACATAAAAATCAACTGGAATGGTTTAAATACTTAAACATAAGACCTAAAATTATAAAACTTCTAGAATAAAACATTGGGAAAATCTTCATAATAGTATTATTGGTCTTGGCATGATGCCAAAAGCATAGACAACTACCGCAAATGGGACTATAGCAAACCCAAAATCTGTGCAGCAGAGAAAACAATCAGCAAAGTGATAAGATAACCTATGGAATAGAAGAAAATATTTGCAAACCATATACCTAATAAGGGATCAATATCCAAAATATTTAAGAAACTCCTATAACTCATAGAAAAATAAAAAGAAAGGGAAAAAAATTAAAGAATAGACATTTCTCCAAAGAAAATGAACAAATGCCCAAAAAGTATATGAGAAAATGTTCAATATCACTAATCATCAGGGAATTGCAAATCAAACCACAATGATATGCCACCTTAAATTTTTTAGGATGACCATTATTCCACCCCCTCCACCTCCACCAAAAAAGCAGAAAATAAGTGAGTTCAGGAGGATGTGGGGAAATTGAAACCCTTGTGCAGTCTTGGTGGGAAGGTAAAATGGTGTAGCAACTATGGGAAACAGCATGGAGGATCCTTTAAAAGTCAAAAATAGAACTACCATACAATCCAGCAATCCCTCTCTGTGTATTTACCCTCAAGAGATATTTGCCACCCTTCCCCATGTTCACCGCAGCCTATTCATGAAAGCTAAGAGGCGGAAACAACCTAAGTGCCTTTGAGAGTTAAATGGATAAAGAAAATGTTGTCTATACATACAATGGGATATTATTTTGCCTTCAAATATGACAAGGATATCCTGTCACATGCTACATCATGGATGAATCTTGACAGCAAGTGAGAAAAGCTAGTCAGAGGACAAATATTGCGTGTTTCCACCTAAATGAGGTATCTAAGTAAACAAATGTATAAAAGCAGAAGCTGGAAGGGTGGTTGCCCGGGGCAAACTGGAGACAGAGTTGGAGAGTTGATGTCAATGGGTGTAGAGTTTCAGTCATGCAAGGTGAAAAAGTCCTGGAGATGCTCTGGTTAGTAATGTGCATATAGCGTACAATACTAACAATAGTGTATTGTAACTTAGAAATTTGATAAGAGGATAGATTTCATGTTATGTGTTTTTTAACACAATAAGAAAATAAAATGCTGTCCCAGGAAGATGCACCACTCACCACGTTTGGTGGAAAACGACCCAGCAATGGTGACAAAGACCAAGACTTTGGGCTCAACCTTACAAAATGTTATTGGAAGTTCAAGAGAAAATCACCCCCCTAATTTAGAATGTAATTTTTTTAAAAACTTCACTTTTGTAAACAGAGCAAAACATTCTCTGCTCCTAAGTAAGACAGGTCAATGAAATGGTTAGGAAAAAATGGCTCCCTGGGTGACCCTACTAAGTCACCAACTTTGGGAGCCACCGTCAATAAAAGCAGAGAGAGTAAGAGATCCAGGAGGCCCCAGGTTATGTGTGCAGAAGAAAAAAATACACGAGATGAGCCCTCACCAGTCCGCTGCCAAGGGCCAGCCTCTGCTCCGGCGCCGGGAGTCTGCAGGCGGAACGTGGAACTTGGAACGCGCCCTGGAACCTGGCACTGTTTCCGCCTTCTTTCTGCAGACGACCCTCGCCGTCTGCCCAGGCAGCTCGATCCAAAGAGCCAGGCTGTCACTGAGGAAGGCTGGCCACGTCTGCGGGAGGAGGCCAAGCGGGATTTCCCTGGCACAGAGGCCGTGCGGGGGGCTCCCCCTGCCTGCTTGGAATCTCGATTAAGTTGGCATTTCGTGGGCTTCAGGTCTAGGGTGGGCCCACCTTAACCAAGCCATCAGAAATGGATGTGTATGTGAATTGAGCAGCCAGTTTATTAATTTACTAATGAAAAAAACAGCTGTCGTCTTGGCAGATCCCGGCCTTTTTTCCCTGTATGTGAGTCGCACGGGAAGGCGATCCAAAAGCAGTTTAGTGAGAAACCAGAGCAAGCAAAACGTGCCCAGTGGTCTTTAAGGGGCCACCCCCACCACAGGGGCTGGTCTGCTCCAGTGGCTGAGGGAGGCCGTCCCCTCCCAGTCCAGACAGCGCTGATCTGGGCATCGCCGGCTTCCAGGGGTGGGGCTCCGGAGTCATACTGTAGGAATTCAGATCCAAGCGCTGTACATACCATTTTGTACGACTTTGGCAAAGCAGCTCACCCCCTGAGGCCTTAGTTTCTTCATCCATATAATGGAAATAATAGCATCCCCATCATAGGATTATTGTGAGGATGAAATATAAGAAACGAATGTTTACTATACTGCTAAGCATAGAGTTGCCATGCTTGGTAGTTACTGTCATCATTATTGCTACTGTTACGAACACCTCTTTTCCTTTGCTTCAGGCCGCACTTCTGCTCAGAATTACTCTGTGTGTACAGAGTACCTGCGACTGATTTGGTTTCCACTCCCTAAAGGAAGTGGTAACATAGTCTAGTCTTGCATCCTTGTATTAAACTTAGTAGCCCTGCCTGGAGTTTGGGAAGCTCCCAGCATGTCATGGCATCTTTACCCACAGTCTCAGGTGGCCCAGCCACATCCTTGGTGATGGTGGCTGAAGTCCTACATTCCAGGGCTCTGTGGCTTGGGTGGAGTCACCTCATAGCCTGGTACACGTCCCACATTCCCGCTTCCAAACAGCTCATCAGCGTAGGGACCTGAAGGCAGCTGCAAGGTGGGGCAGGGTTAAAAGTCAGGATTGAGCAAGTGTCTCTGCAGGCATGTGGTGCCTGTGTAATGGGTCTGGCAGGTGTAACTTTCAGTCTGTCTGGGATGGGGATTAGGAGGCCACATGTGCTTGTGGCTTGAGCAAATCAACAAAGCAAACTGAGAAATGTGAAATCGCACATGTCTGCTCTTGCTTGAGAGCCCATTCCCCTCCATTCTGATAAGGCAAGGCTTGCGCTGTAAGTGGCATCAGCCTTGCCCATGTCTGAGAACCTGGGCAGCGAGCGCCTAGGGCCCTTCAATGCATCCTCACCCCCATGAACTATTCAGCACCAGGGTCTTTCCATCCCCCTCCCTCCAAACACATCAGGC